ATCAATCAATCAATCAATAAATAAATAAATAAATAAATAAATAAATAAATAAATAAATAAATAAAACCAGCTGCAGCCTTCTGGTACCAGAACATCAGAACCTTTAAACATTAATCTCTTAAGTTTCTTCTCACAATCACCATCTTAAAAACATCAGGTTTAATTTATAACACAAACAAATAATGACAAGAACCAAAATCCGAAAATAAAAACATTAAACTCTGAACAATCTGATTTCATAATAAAATATGAGAAAAATACACATTTTTCAAATCAGTGTAAACSTTGAGTTTTTCTCGCATGTGAAATAAAAACTTAAAATGTTTGTATTGTAGTTTCTGAACACTACCTGAAATAAATAAATAAATACATTTGTTCTCAAGTGACTGTTTTGTGCCCTTTCTTAACGTGTGTACATGACAGTGTGTGGGTCAAATTATTCTCCTGTTGTTGTGTTTTGACACTTTGATTTTGAGTGAGACTGACTCACATGTAGGCAGCTGAAGGTCCGAGCACTGAAGCGACAAACGCAGACACGACCCCTGACCCGCTGCCGACCTCCAGGCACACAGACGGGCTGAACACGGCGAGGACAGACCCGCTWAGATTATCAGAAACTCAAAAAGTGTTTGAAACGTGTGAAAACTGTGTCTGACCTCATCCCCCGCAGCCTCTCTGCGTCTGTCTCCAGCGCGTCTATCAGCAGGAACGAGTCCTGGGCCGGCTCGTACACGTCCCGGAAGTCCCCGCGACCGGCGTGAGCGTACACGGGCGTCGGATAACCGCTACACATTTTTATATCAAACACTTCCGCATCTGTTCCCGATTCACCTTGAAGATGATTGTAACATTTATACGCAGCTGTTCGGACTTGTAAGCGTTTGACTGATTAAACTCGCACGTTCTCTTGTTCGTTCACAACAGCGTCACGAGGCGGTCGTTTATTCCTCTGGGGTGAGAACAGCGCCACCTGCCGGACCGGAGTGTGTAGGACAGGAGCTAAAACAGTTTAGGATGGAATCGGTTATGATTTGCACTTTGTGATAATGACCAAAGTAACCAATTAAAATAAAATGTGTTTTTGTTTTGGATACAATTATGTAAAAATAAGTATTTYAATTATGTTTTCAAGCTGCTGCCCCCGCGACCCGACCCCGGATAGGCGGAAGAAAATGGATGGATGGATGGATTATGTTTTCAATGAAGTCACACAACTTTTTAAAGAAACTAGGTTAACTTGTAGCAAAAAAGAGCCAAGAAAATATTCATCACTTAAAATTAACATGTTAACTCAGCTTGAGTCTAACTACGTTCTAACCCTTATAACCTATATTTACCACACAATTAAAATAAAAATTTAAGATTTTGAAGTGGAAAGTGTGTAGGAAACTTGAACAAACAACAAAAACAACAATAACTAAATATTGATCACTTATCAATCTAATGTTAAACAAATGGTTTATTATTGGAAAACAGCAGATATTACAGCTCATTTTTCATTCAATCAAAGAACTGCTTATGTCTCAGATTATATTTATGCATCATTTTCCAAAAATCATCTTCTTACAAGTTTTCTTGGAAAATCTATAGTTATACTGACTGATAATTTGATATCCATCCATCCATCCATCCATCCATCCATCCATCCATCCATCCATCCATCCATCCAATCCATCCATCCATCCATCCATCCGTCCATCCATCCAATTATCTATACCCACTTCTTCCTTTCAGGGTCACAGGGGTCACTGGTGCCCATATCCGGTAGTCACTGTGTGAGGGGCGGGGTACACCCTGGACAGGTCCCAAGTCCATCACAGGGCACATCAACTACCAAACATTGCACAATGTTCAGTTTCCAAAATTAGGTTCTAATTTCACCACAGCTCAGAGTTAAAGATCTCACAGTCTTGAGAACTTCCCAGATCACAAGCTTGATGCAACTGGTGCATAAATGATATAAAATATATACAAGCACCTTTTTAATAATCTGATATTAAAAAGGGCTACATTTAATTATTTTCATTCCTAGGTTAATCCATTATGAGCAAAGTTTTAATTGTTGGCATTCTCGAGATTTTTACTGTGTCCATCAGAGATATTATGTCTGCTAAACMATAAACAATTGTGATTACGTTTAGGTTCTGTCACCAATGTTCAGGAAACAGTTTTTGCTGCTCTTTACACAGACAAATTGTGAATTGAGTTCTTGCAGATGTGCTATTAGAAGTGTGAACCAGCAGGTGGCACCAGCTCATTGTGTGTAGCCAGATGAAATAAAAGATCCAGAATGTTCAGTGGCACAATCTGCACAAGCCACGATGTGTTCAGAACTGGGCAGACTCACTGTGAATTAAGTGAAACATTAGGCTGATTGATGGGTTTTGAAGCACACGAAGGTAACAGTTAAATACCTTAAAACTCTGGTTTGGAAAGAGTGGGCGTTTCTTAATTTCAGCATTGTCTTCAACATCAATTAAGCATCAGACGAGTGGGGAATCTGCAGCCTGGTTATGAAATCAAATCCTAAGTTCCACCTCGTGTTAAAGAGTCTACACAGAAGMCGGTAAGACGCCCATTGTGTTTCTGGTAACTTATTGCGTCATAAACATTTAAGAAACTGTGAGCCAATACAAAACAGGATTATTTAGTCGTCCTGGGAGGAGAAATGTTTGATTTAGTTTTCTGTGTAGGAGTAGGCCAAGTGCAGGAGGCAGCTTGTGGTGCAAGAGTTCAAAAGGACACAGGAAGCAGCCATTTTTGTTGCAAAGGGGCACAAGCAGGYCCAGACCCTTGCTTCAGAGGAAGAAATCCATCCATTATCTGCCGCTTGTTCCGGAGTCGGGTCGCAGGGGGCAGCAGCTTGAGCAGGGAGGCCCAGACATCTTTTCCCACAGCCACATCTTCCCAGGCCAGCCAAGAGACTGTCTGTCCAGTGTGTCCAGAGTCTTTACTGGGGTCTCCTCTCAGTTGGACATGCCTGGAACACCGTCCTACAGAGGCATCCAGAGGCCCGAACCATCTCAAATGGTTTCTCTCAATGTGGAGGAACCAGCTTCAACTTGGAGCCAGGTCTGGTAGAGGGACTCCTCTGTGAGCGCCTGGTGATAGAGACTTCTACCCATGGTTCAAATGACCCAYATTGGTTTCCCTTCCTGTGGGCCCACCACCTGCATGGTGGGCTGTATGGGCCGGTTGAAAAGCAGTATGGGTAAGAAATGTCTCCAATAAACAAAGCATCTGGCTGTTCAACTGCTTTCTTAAAGGGGCTATATCATGTAAAATCAACTTTTTTGAGTTTTATATC